TGCTGAACCAGCTGAAGGATCTCAAGGCGGAGCTCGCTCTCCTCCGAGTCGCCAAAGTCACCGGCGGCGCCCCCAACAAGCTCTCCAAAATGTACTCTTTCACTTCCAACTTGTTATCACTGTTATGATTCGATAATCGCGTTTTGATTTGTTCTGTTTTGTTGCAGCAAGGTGGTGAGGCTCTCGATAGCGCAGGTTTTGACGGTTATTTCGCAAAAGCAGAAAGCGGCGCTCAGAGAGGCGTACAAGAATAAGAAGTATTTGCCCCTTGACCTCCGTCCCAAGAAGACTCGCGCCATTCGCAGACGCCTCACCAAACACCAGGTTTCATTTTGTTTTTTTTTTTTCTTAATTCTTTTGGTTGGTGTTTACAATTTGTTTTTCATTGACTTGAGGAGGAATTAAAATTTAACTCGTTTTTTAATATTTTATGTTGTAAGTATATTAAATTGTGATTATTTTGTACCATGCTACACATGTTTCAATTTAATTAGTGATCTCAAATTCCAGTCGTGACTATGCAATAGGGATCATGTTTGGCTTAAGTAAGGTTGTTTTCCGTAGAAAATATTGTATCAGAGGTTGCAAACACAACTCTTACTTTTTTGATGTTTACAGGAACCTCTCTTATTCGGGGTTATAATGTAATGTATAAGGTTGTCAATGCAGTGTTTTGAAAAAAATTAAGGTTGAAGTAGTAGAATGAAGGAGGTAGTGAGTGGGGGTTGAAGTGGTGTGCAATGGGTCGTAGGTTGTCATTGTGATTCATATTGATAAAATAAATTAAAGTTGGAAGTGTTTTGCAATTTTCCGAACTTTAGAGTGTTTATGTAATTGAATCAAAAATTAATTTGGCATTTTCAATGAAAAATTATTTATTGATTTGGCACTTACATATTTTACGGCACAAGTGTGGTAGTTGGATGGTTCTGGGTTTTCTTGATCTTCGGTTTTGGGGTTAGTTATCCAATTGTGATTCATCTTGGAACCCTCTTGGTTTGTGCAGGCATCATTGAAGACAGAACGGGAGAAGAAGAAGGAGTTGTACTTTCCCCTAAGGAAGTATGCGATCAAAGTTTAGGTCAGAATCGGTTTCAAGTTACATTTGTAGAACAGTTATTTGTATTGAAATTTTAATTTTAATGTTTTGATGCCTGCATATGCTAGCATTCCAATTTTTATTACCAGAGTTGTGTCGGTGCCTGCCTTTAGAGTTTCTGAGTTCTGTGTTAAAACTAGAGTTGTTTCGAGAATTTATGGTTGCTTTTGGCCTTTTGTTTTATGGCGTATCACCCGATGAATGATCAATGGCAGTAATAGTATCATTTTTGAGTTCTGATTTATGCACATTTCAACAGTGAATATCAATTTACACTTCGTTTCCCTCGATTTTTGGAGTTACATTATTTGTTTAACATTTGTTTTTTTTATTTTCTTAATTGTTTTTTTCTCATTACACTACATTCAAATCTTATAATAAAATATAAATTAGCTTTCCTTGATTGTTAGAAATATATAAAAGTTATTTCATTTTTAAATTAAAGTTCCGTTAAAAATACAATCTATTAGAAATTTTATTGTATTATACTAGCTCTTTGCTGGTGGATATTTGGATTTTTTAAGCATGCTAGAAAGGAATTGGTTTCCAATTATAGGGAGATATTTTAATTGAACAACAAAGATACTAATAACTCGTAGCTGGCCCGGAGTTGTACTGTAAATGTATAGTCTTATTAAAGCCCACCAACTGACACGATGATGGAGAGGGATTTGACTGGTATAGTTTCAGGTTTCACAACTCGACTGATTTAGGGAGCCTCATGATATATACACTTTTTTTTATATATAAATACACCTCATTTAAAAAAAAATAAAATAAAATTTCTAAGATATCCTTAATTTTTTTTTTATAATTTTGAAGTTTTTAATTTTACACATCCGACATTTAATTCAGCCCTTTTTTTTTTCCCATACCTCCTTTACTTTTTTAAGTTTTCACATGCCATCACCTTTTTTACATTACCTACTTAAGTAGGTAGTTTTAATTTTTTTCAGTTTTTCATTATTATCTTCCTCTATTCTCTTTCAGTTTTTTCACTATTATTTTCTCTCTTATCCTTTTTAGTTTTCACACACTTAACTTTTGACAATATTATAGGTTTGTGACTTTCTTGATAGTGTTGAAAGTGTTGGGTTAAATGTGTATTTTTTTTCTCGAGTACTTCTCTTATTTTTATGTCTAGAAAATATATCAAATAATTTTAGTGTTTTAAAAAGTATTCTTCAGATTAATAAATAGTGTTATCGAAAGCATGTTTTGAAATTGGATTTTTAACATACATTTAAAAAATACTTTCTAGACTAATAAATTCAATGTTTTAGAAAGTACTTTTTAGAATTATGTAAAATAACATTCTTGAAAAGTACTTATGGAATGTTAAAGAAAGTACTTTTTGAAAGTATGTTATTTTACATAATTTTGAAATATTCTTTTTATAATAGTAAGTTTAGCATTTTAAAAAGTACTTTTCTAGAATAATACATTTTTAAAAAGTACTTTTCTAGAATAATATATTTTTAAAAAGTATTTTCTGAAACATTAAATTTATTATTTCAAAAAACAATTTTAAAAAAATGTAATCTTAAAAAATTCTTTTCAAAACACTAATTTTATTATATTAGAAAATACTTTGGAATAATGAAATTAATGTTCCAAAATATCTTTTATAAAATTAAATTTAATATTAAGGTTTTTGGAAGTAGGCATGGCATCAGGGCGGAGGCAGGGGCGGATTTTATATTCCCTACTCTCGTGCCCCCATAAATTTAAACTGCCCTCGGCCCTGCCCCCGATATTTGCTGGGAGTAAATTCTGGGTATTCATCTTTATCTCTGGCGGGGTTCAGGTTTCCCCCCCTCGTCCTTACCTTTTTATTTTTGATTTTTGATTTTTGATTTTTGATTTTTGATTTTTTTCTTTTTTTCTTTTTTTTTTTTTTATTTTTAATAAATATGAAAATTTTTAAAAAGAAATACAATAAAAATAAGATAATATAAATTTTTACATATAAATATTTCTAATTTTGATTTATATATATACATATAAATAATTTTTTAATTATATTATTAAGTGGGGCAGGTACGGGGGCGGGGTGGGTGTTGACGTTCATGTCCCCGCTTCCGCCCCTGATTTTATCAATTGAAAAAAATCTGAACTCGGTAAACATTGATTTTTCCTGTCTAAATCGGGGCGGGTACTCGTGGGGACGAGTTAAATTGTCATTCCTATTTGGAAGGGTGAAAGAGAGGAAGTGTTGGAAGAAAAAAAAAATGTGTGTTTAGTTCATACAAAGAAAAAAAGAATATATAAATATTTTTAAAAAAATTAAAAAATTAAAGGAAGTGTATTTATTAAAAAAAAAGTGTATATATCATGAGTGTTTAGGAATGATTGGGTACACGATTTGGGCTTGGCAGGGAATGGTAGCCCAACAGCTAATGAAACAATGGAGGTTCATGATATATATACCTTCTTTTTTCTATAAGTACACCTCCTTTTTAAAAAAATAATCAAAATTTTAAAATTTTTTTAATTTTTAATTTTTTAATTTTACATTTACAACATTTAATTTAGTACTTTTTTTTCACACATCTTCCTTTTTTTTTTCTTCAATTTTTACATGTACCTCATTACCTTTCCTTCACCCCACCTATTTTGGTAGCATGTGAAAACTAAAAGAAAAAAAAAGTGTGAAAAAGAAGAAGAAAGTAGCAAATTGAAAATTGAAGGTGTAAAATTAGAAAATTAAAAAAAAACTACAATATTTTATAATTAAAAAATAAATAAAAATAAAGGAGGTGTACTTAAAAAATAAAGGAGGTGTATATATCATGAGCATTTTTATAAGTGCACCTCCTTTATTTTTTTAAAAATTATAAAATATTGTAATTTTAATTTTACACCTTTAACTTTTAATTTGCTACTTTTTTTTTCACACTTTTTTTCCTCTTTCAATTTTCACATGCTACTAAAATAGGTGGGGTGAAGGAAAAGTAAGTACATGTAAAAATTGAAAAAAAAGAGGGAAGATGTGTAAAAAAAAGTACTAAATAAAATGTTGTGGGTGTAAAATTAAAAAATTAAAAAAAAATAAAAAAATTTAAAAATTTAATCATTTTTTTAAAAAGGAGGTGTAGTTATAAAAAAAGGAGGTGTATATATCATGAACCAACAATGGAAATGCAAATTCTTGACTGTATTGGGCTGATGGCTTCGATGTTCCAGTCTTCATGGGTGGGTTTGCAAGGGCAACAGCCCATGCAGAAAAGGCGAAAAAATTGAGACAACTTTGCACTAGTTTGGGCCTCAGTTAGTATTTTATTTAGCCGAACAAAAATAACAAAAAGAAAATGAAAAACCCAACCCAAGCTAATTATCTATTTACCCATTTTCAAATTAATCATCGGTCATTAGTTCAGTAAATGATCCATGTACCACCAGTGTTGATACTTGTTGAATTGGATGAAATAGACACAATTTTTAGTTTTCAATTAAACAATCAAATTTATTTCTAATGAAAAAGTATTTTTCGAAAGACTAATTGCACTAAGTCAGGGATTCATTCATAAGTTGAAAAATTGAAAAGTTATTGGTTCAACCGAAAATAACTACAATCGAATATAGTTGGTAATAGTCTTTCATTGAAAGGCTTCTTTGTTGAAGGCTCTTTCGAGTTAATCTTGAATAGATTTCGTTCTTCTTAAACAAACTATGTTTTTCAACTAACACTATTGGGAAAAACCCAAGTCCTACATCGACTAGAGATTAGGCAATTGAATAGTATATAAGTGGAAAGCAACCCTCACCTTACAAGCCGGTTTTGTAGGGTAGAGTTAGGCTTAATCTACTATTCTAACAAACACCTCCATAATTTAACATTTTTCATTCAATGAAAGTTTGATTTATATGATTAATAGGATGATTGTATGTTATGTATACATATTATAAATATATGGATACGAGAAAACATATATTTTTTGTCTTTATTTTTAGTAGATTATTATACCCCTGTGAAAAAAAATATTGTTTGAATAACCATTTACAATCATTTTTAAATTATCTTTTTTTAATTTTAAATTTTTTTAAAAATAAGATGCACAAAGTGTCTCTTTCTCTTACTAGTGTTTATAATGAGAAATCTTGTATGTGCAATTAAAATTTAAATTGAGATAAATTATTTTGTAATCGTCGGTTTCTTAACTTCATGCTTTTATTAACCTTATGGACCTAACTACTTTCACATTTCTCTCTTCACATTAAAAACTAAAGATTGTTAAAAAAAAAAAGCATTATTAGATAATTTGTGTATTGCATTTGCATTTTAGCCTTTTATTCACTACGCATTTTTTATTTTATTTTTTGAAACTCAACCGATATTGTTCGTCAAAATAACATCATTGTATATTAGTTAGTATTTATTTGATCACGATCCTTATTAGAAAAAACAACCCTGTTTATCACTATTATTAGGTTTAAACATATCTTAAGAGCTTTCATGGGTAACCTACCTATTCATCCCTTTAGAGTATGCAATATAGAATTCTCAGCTAGAAAACTCTTTGGAGTTTGGAGTGAACTAGAAATTCAATCGAGAGACATAATTCATTTGCAAATTAATCGTCTGTTTGAAATTCAATTAACTGGTTTTAATCCATGTGACGGCTAACAAATTTTCACACCGATGACAAAAAATAATTATTTCAAGCCTACAAGTCTTATTATTATTATTATTATTATTGTGTGTAAATTTTGAAATGCGTTGTTCGATGATTTGTTGATATCCTATTATTTATCTTTGGGTAGTTTGGTACACTATTTGTCATATTTTTGTTAGTTTTTTTAGTTGTGAAAAAGTATTGACACCTTTCATAAACGATTATTAAGTACTGCAGTTGTTTAGAGAAAGGAGTTTAATAAGGTACGCGGTCCAAATTCTACACTCGATAGAATGTTGTTTATATTAATAGAAAACGTTTTTAATATCAAAGATATTACTTTTTCAATTGTTTGGGTAGATGAAAAAGAGAGTGAAAAAAGTAAATTATATGAAAGATATTTTTTATTAATTAATTTCTTCACGCAACTATTTTTTCTGAACATAAAAATATTTAATATTTTTTAGTATTTTGTGTTATAAAAAATATTTAACTCTTTAAAAATTTCTTTTTTTATCTTTATATTAATATTTTAAGAGTTCGCTTTAGAATAATTTAATTTGGTCGGAAGGAAAGTAAAACTTAACATAAGATTATTTTTTTGTCAAATATTGAATTCAAACACTATTTAA